TTACCCTTTTCCCCCATTTGCTGTTCTTCAAATATAAATTGCTTCTGTGCTGAATCTAAAAGACTATTGGGAATTGTTGGTAAATGCAATCTGTGACTGCACTGCACAAACCAAAATGGGGTTGTGGGGAAATGGTGGCTTCTCAAAGTTGCAGAAATCTTGGACCTCAGGGCATTTTGCAACAGAAAACAGTTATGACAAAGATTCATGACAGAACTCCTCCAATTAGACAGTAATGCTTGGAAACTAAAATGGTTTTCAAGCATAGCTATCAAATCATTTAAAACCAATATTTAAAGCCATTAAGAGCATGACAACAAATCATATGGTTTCTCTAAGATTTTTAAAAAGTGGTTATTCATCCAGAGTTTTTGCACACATGGCCCATTTACCATTTGAAGGTAGCAGATCAAGTGAAACAATACCTTTTTGTTAAGTCGCACCGATTACGTCTTAAAATCCTAGAAGCACGCTCCCCAATCAAAACTGTAAACAGTCAACAGCAAACTTGCCATCTCACTTTACTGCTGTTATGTGGGACCAACGCAGCTATTACAGCGACTGTTTGCCTCCGAGTTGGGACAGACCCCATTGCTAGTTCAGATTTCCCTCTTCCTTCGCCTTCTCCGGGGACGGGAAGGGGAGGGGGCAACGGGAGATGCTTGAGACAAGAGGTGTACCTCCCTACAGTGTTCGGGTGTGAGGAGAAAAGGGGAGGGGATGTTGCGAGCCGGGAAGAAGCAAATGTTCTTTCCTAACAACAAATGACCAGTGAAGGGAGGCGGGGCACGCGAGAGGCTGGGTCGCCGACAACGTCAACATGGGGCCTTTGTTTAGGGTCTGCCGCTGCCCGGAAGATACATAGGCGCGGGGGAAGGGGCTGCGGAAGGCAAAAGGGAAGGGGGCAGCGATTTCTAAGCATGAGGGCGGGCGAAGAAGGCCACAGCCACCGCCTTCCGAGCGCCGACAGACACAGCCGGGTGGGAGGGGGGCAGCTCCTGAGGTGAGTCCGGGGGGAGGCTGAGCCCCTCCCTGAAATTTTCGGTGGGGGCTGAAGACCCGACGCCCCCCTGAAGATTACGCCTATGCACACGTCCGGTGATGTCAGGGGGTGCTAATAAGTTATGCTAATGAGCCCCTGCAGCTTTTTTCCTACGAAATGACCCCTGCTCTTAACTATCTGGTTGTTTATGAGCTGTAGAGGAGATTAGAAGGAAGTTGTGTAACTGCCTTAGGTCACATGCAGGCCTATCCATGTGGGGGTGGGAAAGGTGATTAGACAGGGCCTAAAGGCCACTATGGGGAGATAACCAGGAGGAAGAATTCCACTCTGTCAACCAATGTTATCTCTTTTCTGTCTGGCCAGCTACTGGGGCCCCACCCTCTCTTCCTTTCAGCCTTGTAGACCATGGGAATAAAAGTGGCTTGCAATGTCTTTCTGCTCAAGCCACTAGAGTTAATTTACTGAAGTTTGCTTCCACAGTCCTTCTAAGCCAATTCTTCACCATGTTAAGCTCTGTGAGGAGGAACATGTTCTTAATTATGAAACTGGGATTTGCTGCCAGTGGGAAGTAGTGAGGGGCACAAGCATAGATGGCTTAGAACCATTCGTAGAGGAGAAGTACAAAAATGGCTTCTAGACAGGGTGACTTTGTCCAGAGGTAGTCAGCCTCCGAATACCAGAGCTAGGGATTGACTTCAGGGAAGGCCTTGGCCTTTGTGTCCTGTCCGTTGGGCCTCCGGGGCAACTGATTGGCTGCTGCGTGAAACGAGATTCTGGACTACATAGAACACCAGTCTGATCCTGCAGGGCTTCTCCTGACTCATTAGGGGTCTGCGGTACAGAGCTGAAGAACAGAACACTTATTCTATTTTAGAGTGCAGCTTCAGGAGGAACGCACATGGAGTGGTGAGGGAGATAGGAGACACCCACCTAGCCAGCCCGATCAGCCAAGTCAACCCTGTCGGTCAATGGGGCAACAGATGTTGCAGCCAGATTGCCTTTAAATCTACTGTTGGCTGACCTTAACTGTATTTCAAATCTAAGGCAGCATTTCAATCTGTACTCTTTGCTGTATATTTTCTGTATGCCAATAAAGGGACTGAAACGGAAACAGTATAGAGCTGCATGACTGCATCAAAAAATTCTATTCCAGATTAAATGGGAGTTGAAAAAAGTCTCATTTAAAATTATAAGGTGTTCAGGCAGCAGAGGATTCAAATGTCGGTGCCTGTGGAATTGGTTTGACGTGACACCTGAGGATGATGAATCTGATAGGGATAAGCAGGCGCTGGTCTACAGAAAAAAATACCAAGGACGACAGAAGTTTGGTGACAATTTAGCTGATCCTCCTTGAAAATGCAGTTGTTTGGGAAACTGATCCGATGAGCTATACTAACTCCTCCTGGATTTGCATCTGTCTTGTGCTTCCTGCCTCCTTCCCCTTTCTGGGCTGTCAAAATCTGATACAGAGGATTGTTTGCAGGGCGAAACTGTAGAAGAATGTGTTGTGGGTGGGGCAAAGGGTCCTTCTCTCTTTGTCCTAAACAAGGTGGGTTATTACTTTGAGGGCGGAGAACTGATCCAATCAAAGATCTCTGGCCAGGGCTCAGCCAGAAAGCTGCACACTGTTTGTCTGCTGGGCTTGTAGCCCCACGCAATGGCTTTGTCTCCCGCGATGGATGCATCCCTTGACATGGAGGCTGCCCCCATGAGGGCTCCAGCATGCAACCTGGATGGGAACTGGCACTACCAATTCCGCATCATTCTGCTGGGCGATTCCACTGTGGGTAAAACCTCTCTGTTGAGGAGCTACACTGAGAGGGGCTTCCTACCGGATCCGTGCCCCACTGTGGGCGTGGAGTTCTACAGCAAGATTATGGAGCTACCACCAGGCATCAAGGTGAAGCTACAGCTGTGGGACACAGCTGGTCAAGAAAGGTTCAGGTGAGAAAGCCCTCCCCCCCCCCCCCCCCCCCAGCACCAGAAATATAGATACTGCTTCAACAGGAGCCCGGGGTTCTTTTCCTTTACCATGCCTCCTTTCAGGACCACACCCCTAGGGTTACTAGTCTCTAGGCTGGTCATTACAACTGATCTCCAGAGTACAGAGATCAGTTCTCCTGGAGGAAATGGCAGCTTCAGTGGGTGGTCTCTAAGGCATTACATCCATACTGAGCTCTCTCAGGCACTACTGCCAAATCTCCAGGAATTTCTTAAGCTGGAGATGGCAATCCTAAAGGTAAAGGTAAAGGTTTCCTTGCTCGAAAGCCAGTCGAGTCCGACTCTAGGGTTGCGGTGCTCATCTCTGATTCAAAGCCGAAGAGCCAGCACTATCCAAAGACGTTTCCGTGGTCATGTGGCCGGCATGACTAAACACCAAGGTGCACGGAATGCTGTTACCTTCCCACTGAAGTGGTACCTATTTATCTACTTGCAATTTCTTGCTTTCGAACGGCTAGGTTGGCAGGAGCTGGAACTAGAGACGGGAGCTCACTCCGTCATGCGGCAACTCGGGTCTCGAACTGCTGAACTACTGACCTTCCACAGCCTGCAGTTCAGCGTCTTAACCACTTGACCCACGTTTTATGGCAACCCTATCGCCTCCTAAAAACCCCTCTCCCCACCCCATGAAATGAGGAATAGAAATCCATCATCACTCCCTGCAGGGCCTACCCAATCACGATAGTGTGTCTCATTCCTTAAATTCCATTCAGGTTGGTGAAATTGCAAGAATTTTAAGTGGCAGCATTGCCCCTGCCCCTTTACACTCTACCCTCACTTCTTACTTCCATGCCTTCCTTGTTTACAAACCTTTTTTTTATTTTTAAGTTTTCTCTTTTACTCATTATTATTATCTCTTTAATACTGATTGTTCTTTTATTTCATTTGTCATCGTCATCCCTTTAAGGATCTCAGGGCAGTATTGTAGGAGTTATTCCGTTTCCTCTTCAGAACAACCGTGTGGGGTAGGTTAGGCTGAGAGTTACAGTAAGCAGCGTTATGCCCTTTGAAATTCATTGAAGTCAAGTGTGTGACTCTGCTTGGGATTGCAGTGTTACTGTATTTGCTCAAAAGGAAGACAACCCCGTATGTAAGACAACCTCCTTAAACACACACACGCAAATTATTTTGGGGGGCATAACTGTAACTTGAATGATAATGTAAGGTGATCCCCTCCTTTTTGACGGCATACCTGTGGGGGGAAAGCTTGTCTTGCATTTGGGTAATCCACCTGGAGTCCCAGTGAGAAAAGCGGACTATAAATAATGTAAATTAAGTAAGTGAATAAAATAAATACTGTCGTTTATTTATATACTGCTTTTCAACTAAAAGTCTGAAGATGATTTATGACATGATAGAATACGAAAACAATAAAAGGCAAGTAAGATATGATAAAACCCAAGATAGCCAAAATTATCAATAAAATATAATACAGACCATCAACATAAAAAAAAATCAATATAATATTCCAAACAAAGTGGGATATTCCAAAATATACTATTCCCAGCAGGGAGTTAGCACATTATTGTTCCAAGGCCACCCAGTGAACTTCAGGGGTAGCAAAGATTCAAATCTGGGTTTCCCTGGTTCACTCCCAAACAACCTAATGTTAAAATTCCATTTAAATTAATGGGAGTAGTTAACTGTAATTATTGAAAGCCCCATTTATTTCAATGGGAGTAAGTGCAGTTAACTTTTTATTTTTAAGACAAACATAATATAAATTTTTTTTTAACAAAAACAGGAAGTAAATATATATATATAACAAAAAATAGACTATGTTTTCTCCCCAACACCCCTACATTACATAAAATAATTTTTAAAACTGTCTATAAAATACAATAAAAATAACTTTTGTTAGGATACATTTATATTCAACATTTACCATTTAAAGCTGTTTCTCATTCTACTTCTTCATTGTAATACATTTGTATACAAAGTTTTAAACTACTTCTCATTCTAGGTTTGTCTCCTACTTCTATACAAATAATACAGACTCCATCTCTTCTTGAATTTCATAACTGTCTGTTTCTCAAATAAGATGTTAGTTTTGCTATAACTGTATACTCAGCAAGTTGGTTTTTTTATTCTTCTAATCCTGGGCAAATGTCTGCTTTCCATTTTGCTGCATAAATAATTCTAGCCACTGTCACCATATATCTAAATATCTCTTCCAAAAATTTTGACAAATTATTAAGCAGTATACCTAATAACATACTCTTAGCTTCCATGAGAAATTTAATCTTTAAAATGTTCTGCATTTCTCCATGTATTTCTTTCCAATACCTTTTTGTTTTTTTACACATCCACCACATATAAAACAACTTCTGTCTTTGTCTTGGCATTTGCAACATTTTCCAACATATCCTTTGGAGTTGGAAACTCCATCTGAAGAACATTTTGTACCAGTTTTCTCTTAACACCTGACTGGTTGTGAATGTGATATCTCTTTCCCATAACAATTCTCATTGATACATATCTGTTCTCTAAAGTTCAGTGCAGTTAACTTTTAGACTGGGACATATCTTTGCTGTGCCACTGGTTTTTAATGTTTTGGTTTTAGTACTGGCCTACCTTATAAGGATTATATGAGATAATACACATAAAGTACTTTGAACACTGAAAGAGCTCTGTAAATCTTATTTGTTATTCATGGCTTTACTAAATCTATTTTACTTACTTATTTATACTCCACTTTTCTCCCTTGTGGGGAACCAAAGTTTCTTGCAACATTCTCCATGTCTCCATTTAACCTCAAAACAACCCTGTAAGGTAGGATAGGCAGTGTGTGTGTGACTGTCCCAAGGTCACTCAGCAAGCTTCCATTGCAAGGTTGGGGGGGACGTTCGAACTTGGGTCATCCAGATCATAGTTCAACATTGTAACCTCGACCCACACTGGCTCCCAAATATCAGTCTGTCATATTTTTATGCCACCCTTCCTATTTTCCTCCTCAGACCTGAGGTGAGGGAGGGGACTTGAGGAGGTGCGTTGTGCAACTGTACTTCCTCATCCAAAGGTTTCTGCCTATGGAAAACCTGTCACATCTGAAAGGAAACACTCCAGCCACTTCAGACCTGTGAAGATAATCATATGAGTAATAACTGAGGATGCAGCAAAGAATCTGTACAGAAAGCCCTATTATGGAGCCAGAATGACACCTTACTCAACACATAGGGTTGCCAACTCTGGGTTGGAAATACCTGGAGATTTTGGGGGTGCAGCCTGGGGAACATGGGGTTTGGGGGACAGAGGGTCCTCATTTCTCCTTATATATAAAAGCCTTTTGGTGGTGGCACTCTCCAGAACATTCCACATGCTCCCAAATTGGTTGGCGCCTTGGTGTGTCACTCACATGGTGTCTGTCTCCATTGGCTGCATTGCTGCCTCCCTTGGCGCGGTCCCACCCACAGAGGAGGCACCCGGCATCTTGGCCTCACTCTCCTTCGAGCGGACAGACGGGTCAGATGCTCCAGCAGCCGGGGGCCTGAGCCACTGCCACCATGGTCGTCCTCGCCCGAGTGCAGGTAGCTGCCCGGGCTGCGTGCGACCGCACGACGGATGGGCCAGGTGCTCCAGTGGGGGGAGGGAGGGGGCTCAGCCCAATTCTGCCACTGCCGCTGCAGTCATCCTCACCCGAGGCCGGCTACAGGTGGCTGCCCGGGCTCCAACCGGATGATGGACGCGCCGACCACTCCAGTGCACGGGGGCCCCTCAGGCCAAGCCCAATCCTGCCGCTGCCGTAGTAATCCACGGCCAACTACCGGCAGCTGCACGGGCTCTGACTGGATGGGGACTGGGGCGCCACCGGCCTGGAGGCTGCTGGAGGTCGCCCAGAGTCCGCTGGCCATGCCTGGGCGGGAAGCCGGTCACAGGCCACTTTCTCGCCCCTCGACTCCGGGGGGGTCGCGACAGGGGAGAAAGCGGGGGACCAGGGGTGCCTGCGTTGCATCTTTCTTGGGCTCATTGTCTTTTTCCACAATGGGCTTTGCTTCTAGTCGGTATATAAATATGACGTTGTAGAGCCCACCCTGCAAAACAGCCATTTTCTCCAGAGGAACTGATCTCTGTCATCTGGGGATCAGTTATAATATTGGGAGATCTCTAGGCAGCACCTAAAGGTTGGTAAACCTACTCAGCACAGGTGTAAGGTTGCCAGCTGCAGCCTGGGAAATGCCCCGAGATTTTGGGGGTGGAGCTTGAGGAAGGTGGTGGTTGGGGCATAAGGCCATAGAATCCAAGTTCCAAAGTGGCCATTTCCTTCAGGCTGGGGAAGGGTGCTCAGGATACCAGAAATAAAGCAGACTTGGGGAGGGAATAGCTGGGTTGTGTGGAAACAGAACTGAGAGGTAGGAGGACATCACCTCCTTCCCCCTTCCCCAAGCCAGTTCTGCTCTGTTTCCATGCCACTCCTCCATCACACAGCAGACTAGGCCATGGGAACTCCCTGTTTGCTACATAATGTGTAGATTTGCTCTCAGCCTGGCAGGAAAATGCCACCGACCATTATGGCAAACTCCAGAGACCTCCAGACAAATTAACAAACGAGTCTTGAGGTAGGATTGCCAACTGGAGATGACAACTGATCTCCAGACTACATAAAGGTAAAGGTTTCCCTTCCTTGAAAGCTAGTCGAATCTGACTCTAGGGGGCGGTGCTCCTCTCTGTTTCCAAGCCGAAGAGCCAGCGCTGTCCGAAGTTGTTTCTGTGGTCATGGACTGGCATGACTAAACGCTGAGGCACAAGGAACGCTGTTACCTTCCCACTGAGGTGGTTCCTAATTATCTACTTGCAATTTCTTGCTTTCGAACTGCTAGGTTGGCAGGAGCTGGGGCCAGAGACAGGAGCTCACTCTGTCACGCAGCACACTCGGGTCTTGAACTGCTGAACTACAGACCTTCCGGTCTGCAGCTCAGGGTCTTAACTTCTGAGCCACCTACGTA